CACACACACTCACACTCTCTCACTCACACACACACACACACACACACACACATTCACACACACACGCACACACTCACTCTCTCACTCACTCACTCACACACGCACTCACACGCACTCACACGCATGCACGCACAGACACTCTCACACTCACACACTAGACATATCATCGCTGTCCGATGAAAAACACATTTTTGGCAGTCTTGATTAGTGTAATTGATACAGTACCTTGAAAAATACCTCAGGGAATTTAATTTCCACTTTAAGATGAAACACTGCCATTTATCATCGTTTATTTGGGCGAGCAGGATATATTTATGGGCAGGGATTGAAATTAACTTTTTCTACTCACCAGCCAATTTGGCTACTACATTTTTAAGTTACCGGCCATTCATAACTTCTACTAGCCAAAAAACCCCCGAAATAAACCAACAGCTTGAGTCTGTCTACACTGGGCGTGACAAAGCGACCGTTGCAAATCATTTTGTGTCAGTACCAAGGGTGTGCGATATTGACAAAAAATAATATCTCAATATTTTCTGGGATTTTATTGATAGATAATTAGACAATATTTTGCTGAGTGTGTTATTGTGCTGATATCTTAAGGATACCGTGGACAGCTGACTCCTAAAGTTTCTGATATTCTTCATATTCTGTGTGCGGGTCAGTTCACAGCAGTGATAGAAATGAATCTTTTCCAATAAGTTTAGATTGATTTTTACCTTTTATGGGCATTTTTACTTTTATAAATTTATTTTTACTAAAAGTGTGCATCATCTTTTGAGTCAAATTCTTACATTTAATCAGGCAATTATAACAATACTACATTTAGGCTGTTACTAAACAAATGAAATCAGTATCAATAAAATTAATCTTTGCAGAAGTTGAATATGAAGTGGCATTTAGATGTATTTACACGTGTTAATGCAGCTTAGAGGGACATGGGATGCTTTAGCCTGCAGTTACAAATGCATAAATAATGTTTTGATATTTTAAACCTAAAATGTTGAATAGTGATATTTAAATTATTTTAAAAGATACTTTAAATGTGAAATTAAATCCGCCAGTAAGTGGCAGCAAGTCACTGTTCAGTGAGTCATTGCGAATGAACCAAATAATTTAAACGGTTGATTTTGCTCAGAGACGCAGAACAGCGCTGTGTCTGGAATGTTTTCTGTTGGCGAAATAACGCAAAACAGCCAATATGCTGTCTAAACCGTAAGTCTCTTGATATTAACTTGTTGTATAAAATCAATATCACATTTGTAACCATGCTGATTTATTTTTTTTAAAACGGCACTCTTCGTGTGATATTAACTATATGAATTTATATAAATATATACATTTTCCAACCCCCTTATCTTGAATTATGTGATAATTCGTAATGCATATTAACAGACTGAATCATGCAATGAAAGAATGCACTTTAAATGCGCACAGCACAAAGTTAGTCTGACCTGACTACATCACGTCGCGTATGCTTGCACTTTGTAACTTAGGTGTGTTTTGTTTGGTTTTTGCAATATACACGATAATGTCATGATGTCTCACGAGTTCAGTATTTGCGCTAAACCTGTGCAGATTTGGCTTGCATGAACGTCCCCAAGAAATGAACGAGTGAACATAACTTACGAAAAGTAACCCGCCAAACTGGCTAGTGATTTGACAGCGTTACCCGCCACCGCTGATTTTTAATGTTTTTTTTTGTGTTAATTTCAAACCCTGTTTATGGGGTATATTTTGTAGTATAGCTATACCTTTATTTGCAGTTCACTAAAACTAAACGGACATTTCCTAACTGTAAAATAATAAATGAATATTTCATAACAAGTATAATAATTATTTTACTTTATAGTAGTAAAAAAATGCGTGAGACTTAATTTCTTCACTCACAAGAGTTTGAGCTCTTATAAAAACCCTCGAGCTTTTATATCGGCTGAAAACTGTACTTTAAGTCTTACAAACTTCATTACGAATCTAGAGTCAATACTGTGCAAAAATCTATATTTCTGACAACACTATCACAGATGTGTCTAAAGGTGCTAAAGGTGACTAATTTATTTAGCAAGATAGCTTTTATTTTTGTTTTTCATTGGACAGCAAAAATATAATATAAACATTTAACTCTAAAATCTAAATATATATATTTTTTTCCTTTTTTTAAATGTTGTGTGTTTAGTTTTATTGCATTCAGTCCTTTTTTAAAGAATAAAAACATAAAAATGTATAACAAACCAGTGTTACCATTATCATCTAGGTGAGTTTTTACATGTATAACTTTTTTCTTTTTAAATCTGCATTTGATTTATTATTTCTGACAACACTATCACCGATGTGTCTAAAGGTGCTAAAGGTGCCTACTTTATTTAGCCAGATAGCTTTTATTTTTGTTTTTCATTGGACAGCAAAAATATAATATAAACATCTAACTCTAAAATCTAAATATATATATATTTTTTTCCTTTTTTTAAATGTTGTGTGTTTAGTTTTATTGCATTCAGTCCTTTTTTAAAGAATAAAAACATAAAAATGTATAACAAACCAGTGTTACCATTATCATCTAGGTGACTTTTTACATGTATAACTTTTTTCTTTTTAAATCTGCATTTGATTTATAAATCTCTCTCTCTCTCTTTCTCTCTAGTGCTGCGCTCGATCCGATCGGCTCCGTGCTTCTCTGTGATTGGCCAGCTGAATCTCAACTCCATGTTTCCTCAAGAGAAGCCCCGCCCACAGCAGCGACCTGGCTGCCAATCACAGCCGCTTCCTCATTCCTGGAGCACAGGGAGTCTGAGTGTGTCGCTTCAGATGCTCAGTGCTGAAAGCAGCCGCAAAGTTTGGACGCTCGGGGTGCGATAGCGTGATCACTTCACCTCTCATCTCATAATCACATAAGCAGCTTATTTGACCGATACAAACGCATGCACAAGCATGTAGCCATTAGAAACGCACACAGAAACTGCCTGATCTGACCGATGAATGTTCTCAGCCAATCAGAGCAGAGCTGGAGCGTTCCGAGCTCAGTGATTGGCTGGTTAGGATGTCATAGATTATTCATGAGCTTTCGTTTCAGCCACTCTAAATGTATTTTGCCAGTGGGAAGTGTTTGGTTTTGTATATATATATATATATATATATATGTGTGTGTTTGGTTGTGGAGAGAACGTCTGAATACAGTGGAATGAGTGTTTTTACTGAGCGTGTAGAAAGGGATGTGCCAGAGTAAGCTTATCTTTATATTTTTCGTGTATAATCGTGTCTTTAAACTGTCTTGTGGAGGTCATTTTCTTGTTTTCTGTGCTATTCGGACACATTGTTTACGTGATTATATTAAAACAGTAAGCTCACATATTCATTCAGAAGCAGAAGAATGATCGGTTATCAAAAATTAACAACAAAACCATGTGATCGGCACCGTTTACATGTGCCAGTGGTTTAATTAACATGTGCCTTAAACAGATGTGCAGTTCATGGAAAGCCAGTGGTATATCAGAGCTAGAACTTTGTGTTGTTTGTATGTATCTTGTATCTTTGTATGTTTAGCATTATGAGTGTTATTGAGTGTCATCTCACCTTAAAACACTGTCTAAACTACAATAAAGACTTGTGTGTTTTTAACTTTGTGTTTGACTGATGCATCCTAACAAAAAAAGTTAAACATTTTCAAGTAGTGTGGTTTAGGAGTGACCCCGAATAGTCGAACATTCGATGCTTTGTTTTTACGAGGAGCCTGATTCGATCCAATCTCACAGTCGAGTCCTCGCCGTGTGCTGAACTCATTCTCTCTTTTCCCATCACATATCAGATCGGAAAGACATTTAGTTTCAGTAAAAATTAAGGAAATGTTTAAAAAATGGAAATAATAATGCCTCGCCGTCGGGTTTAGGTCCCAATATAAGGCGCCATCCATTTAGAAATGTAAAAAAATAAATGATAGTTTACAATCAATGTGTTATTACTGCATACTGTTTTATAAGGTACTACAATACTGAGGTGCAAATATCTGCCATTTTTGGTATAAAAAGAAAATGCTGCTATTTTTACATAATGTAAATAGAATCTAGCATTATTTGCACGTAGTGTAAACAGCATATCGCTAATAAAATACTGCTATTTTCACTTATTGTAAATAGAATCCATTTCTATTTGCATAGCCGTTTCCATATTAAATGATTCAAATAAGTTAAATCATACTTTAAAAATGAAGCGGCAAGTCACTGTCTTTGTCACTAAATCAGTCATTTATTCAGTCAAGGTCGATTCTTTCATACAGCTGATTCATTCATTGCATACAATCAATATCACATTTGCAAACTCCCTTTATAATCATTAAAAAGCTGTCACTCAGTTCATCGAGGTATTACAGCCATGCAAAAGCCCACATTGCACAGCTAACCATAGACAAATGTCCCGCTATTAGCCTATTGTGTGCGGAAGTTGGATCGCTTTCGTAGGCTATTTAATGGATAAAATATAGAAATCCCTTTAATTTCCCAAAATGGAAATCTCCCCCTCCTCCTGTGAGCGAGCGTGTATAACCATAATTTTGTTGCACTAAACCTTAAGGTTATTTGCCGTTCAATTGCGCTACGTCTCCATTGTTTTTCTGCTGTGCTTGTTTATGCTCTTTAAGCTGCTTCACCAAGCAGGGGCAGAGCACCAAATGTTGGGCCCCAGTCACACAACACCTCATCAAACACCCAAGACTGATTTATTTTCACTATTATTTTTAACATTTATTTTCACAGTCTATTTTCAGAGGGTCCAAAAGAAACGAGTAACATAGCAAGATATTAATATATTACAAATGTAGACCAGTTAAGCAATCATTGCTTTAAAAAGATCAAGTTAAAAGTCGATAATTAACTTTTCTTTCTGTTCATTGCTATGGTTATCACATGTCAATCATCTCACTTTCGGGGCAGAATAATGGAAAGAAAATTTAGCGCATTCACTCCCGTTTTCCTCAAATTTCATCATCTACTTTGTACCAATGTACCGTATTTTTGACAACACTAGGGTACTGTAAATGTATGGATAAGCAGTTACACAGTCAGGCTTTTCTCTCGCAAGGCTCTCAGCAAGTAGCCTATTTAGTCAAAAGTTGTCTCCCCATCTGCAGCTTTCTTTCCCTTTGCGAGGCGTCTGTTACACATTTTCCCTGTGTGTTAACGTCAGTATTTATGACTGTTGAATGTCGGACTTCTTGACTCTTGGTAATGTGTTTTGCCCCTCGCCCTCTCACACATAGGCAAGACTTGACAATTCTGATTTGACTATGTAAATCCTTAGTCGGGGACACAACTAATTGCCAACTATGCTGGCACACACATTTGTTTTGGTGACCGAAGAAGCTTCCAGTACACACAGATAATAAAAAAATAAATAAAGATAGGTAAAAGATGTAAAAATAAGTATTGAGATCTCATTCCAGAATGAGACTGAATTGGTACATGTGAAGAATAGATGCATTGATTCATTTTCAGAAACACAAAAATAAGAGTTTGTATGAATTTAGCCAAGAAAACATTGCAAGGGTAAAAATTCTGAAGGATTTTAATTTGAATCTCTTGTTTGGTGTTTGTCAATGGTTATATCGTGACCAGATATTAAGGAAAGATACTGAAGGATAAATCTGCAGCCATAAACACACAGCTGTCTGGGAAACACTGTTTGAAGCACCTTGTAGAAGTTACATGAGCTCTGTGGATTAAGGTATGATAACAGTCGCCAGAAACAAAACAGATCTGGTGCCCTCTGCTGCTCAGTGTGTGTATGTGTGTATACCTGGCATTCCCTATCACTGTATGAGATCTCATTCCAGAATGAGACTGAATTGGTACATGTGAAGAATAGATGCATTGATTCATTTTCAGAAACACAAAAATAAGAGTTTGTATGAATTTAGCCAAGAAAACATTGCAAGGGTAAAAATTCTGAAGGATTTTAATTTGAATCTCTTGTTTGGTGTTTGTCAATGGTTATATCGTGACCAGATATTAAGGAAAGATACTGAAGGATAAATCTGCAGCCATAAACCCACAGCTGTCTGGGAAACACTGTTTGAAGCACCTTGTAGAAGTTACATGAGCTCTGTGGATTAAGGTATGATAACAGTCGCCAGAAACAAAACAGATCTGGTGCCCTCTGCTGCTCAGTGTGTGTATGTGTGTATACCTGGCATTCCCTATCACTGTAAAAAATGACCGTAAATGCTACAGTAAAAACCTGTTAAATGGTTAACGGTAAATTCCCCTACTATAAGCGGTGAAAAACTGTATTGGACATTAATTGTACGGTAGTATACGGTTTTTGGAAATGAAAAAGACCGTATAATTTACAGTGAATAACCGTAAATTGACATTCCCAGAATTCCCTGCATTACATTTCAAATTTGATGAAATTTGTTGAAAAACTATGTTTCTTCTTAGTTTTTTTCTTATCAGTTTTGTATATTAGGGTTGTGTGTTACACCTAATGTTGTTAAATTAATGTTTATTGCATTGAAATTGGATCATTTTTTATTGCAAAACTGGAGGAGGCGCTATTATACATCATCTGAAAGAGTATTGAATGTATGGATCAAAACGCATGTGAAGAAGCAGAAACAAGCGATCGTGTATGTAAGCAGATGCATATGTAAAATAACTCGATCATCAAGCATTAAACAGCATATAAATCAAAACTGCCTAACGTTACGAAATGAAATGTCATCCCAGGAAGTGGTATAAGACCATGCACGCTTTGGATGTGTTGATAGAAACTATCCATTTCATCTGTGTTTTGATCAGCGTTCTGAATCTGATCCAGATGTAGTCTCTTACAAAAACACAATTTTCCCAGCTGTTCAAAATGTTCCTTTTTTCATGAAACTTACCCACATTCAAGTGTTGATAAAAAATTTTTTTTATCTGCATGAAGCTAGAATAAAACTTAAAAAAATAAAACTGGCGGTGGCTTCTTTAAAAAAAAAAAAAAACAGGGAAAGAGTTAATAAGAAACAGCTAATGTCTAATAATGGATTAGGCTCTGATTATTTCACGTTGACACTCATGAGGACCTACAGTATGCTTGGAAGACCTGGAAGACCTGGTCTTGTTATAGCGGCACTTGGTTAGTGCTTAAGATCTCTGAGTGGGTCCCCGAGATGCAGGATTGAGCTCTCTCCCCAATGGTTAGGGTAAATAAGTAGAGCTTAAGCTCCACTGAAGTTTCCTTAGGGCAAGGATGTCCAAACTCAGTTCTGGAGGGCCAATGTCCTGCTCCAACTTGCCTCAACACGCTTGACTAGAAATATCTAGTATGCCTAGTAAGACCTTGATTATCTTGTTCAGGTGAGTTTAATTGGGGTTGGAGCTAAACTCTGCAGGACACCAGCACTCCAGGAGCAGGATTGGACACCCAGGGGTTTGAGTTGAAATGGCAAGAAAGCCTTTTCTCTAGGCTCCTCGTAGCTTCATCCTTTTTTGGTGGTACTAGAGCTAATTTCTCCCCCTGAGAAGTAGTGGTAAATCAAAGGTTGCAGTCGAGGGCTCCCTTTGGATGAGCTACTCCCTGAGGGCTTTATCAAAATACTGACAAAGCTGGCATTATGGTTTGGTTTTGCTCTGAGGTGACTTGGGTATTTTTACCTGCCCTGTGAGGGAGGGAGGAAGGTAGGGGCAAGGATTTTTCAAGGCAAGGACTTCTGTTGCAATAGAACATTAAAGCTGTAGCTTTCTTTTGCCAAGTAGATGAAATAAGTTTATGGATTAGCTCCACTAAGCAGTCTATGGATTGTGATTTTGCACCTGGGAGTTGATGCATCCTGACTCTACCTTTATTTCTCTGGAGAGTCAGGTTGTTTTGTGCCCACTATGGTCTGCATAAGTTCAGCCTAGTTAGGCAGGCACTCCGTTAGCATGGCGGGTGTTCCCATTAGCATCAACTCCATGATGCCATATTGAAGTACCACTTTGAAATGTAAAGTCTCAGGTTGTGACTGTAACCATGGTTCCCTGAGATGGGGAACAAGATGTGGCGTCTCATTTCCATGCATTGGGCTTGCCTGCACATCTCCTTCAGACAAAAGACTTGATGACATTTTGCAGTCGCCCTCTTATACTCGCGAGTGCTCCGCTCATGCTGTCAGCCAATCAGTTAGCGTGTTTGTACACGTTCAGACACTGGTCACACCGACAACGTTCCCATTCCATGATGCCGAATCTCATTCCTCTTCTCAGGGAACCTGAGATTCATCCCCACTCATTCAATGATGGGTGAGAAAAGGTAGAATGAGAGAAATGATAATGCACTGATTGCAACAAAGAATCGCTAGTTTCACAAAACAGCATAGGACACAGTTAAACGGGAAGCTAACATGACAGTACATTATGGATTTGTGAAGCAGCAAAACAAGTGGGTATATGCAAATATTGATTCTTAGAAGTTGTTATACACAAACAGCCCTGGGCAAAGCATAAGCATACGGCATATACATGCATATGGACCCGACCAGTGAGGTAACAAAATCATACACAGATCATTGACATTTACAGTGGATCCTTTTCATAAGAGTTTGCTTAAGAGTGAAACCAAAAGTCAAACCCTCAACAACAAACAAGGTT